CCAGTTGTTGTGGATCCTATTCAAAGTGTCAAAGGAAAGGTAGGGGTATTTTGTTTCATTCTGTGGAAGAGGGTACACAGACTCTTGTGAAAATAGATTTAGGTTGGTTAGCTTTCCTAGACACTTCATACTTGTGACACCGTGATAAGTTACCTCTGCACTGTACACTACTTTCCCAACAATAACAGTAGATGTCTTCCGCTACTGCAGGTTGTTATAGATGCATTCCGTCTTATTAATCCGAACATGATGGTCCTTGGTCAGGAGTCGCGACAGACAACCTCAAATCTTGGACATTTACAGAAGCCTTCAATACAGGTACACTTGGTAGTATGTATATAAACAGGTTGGGGAAACAGATGAACAGTTCTGAATTCTTGTTAACAAACACCTGCCATGGTTTGACTATATGTGTTTTTTGTTTCCTTTTTAGGCTCTGATACACGGTCTGAATAGACATTACTACTCAATCTCTATCAACTACAAAAAGAATGAACTCGAACAAAAGGTATTTAAACTTCCACCGTTAGAAAATATTGCCGTTAAATTGTTGAAAGTTCGTGAGTAAAGCAATGAACGTCGTATGTTATAAAGCATACAGACATACGTGGTCGAAGTTTTCTGAACAGAAATTCGAATCCGTTATTGGAGGGTTTTTTCCGAGCCTGCCTCGCCACAGAATAAAAAAAAAAATAAAACCAATACGACGATTTTCATAGTTCATCGTTCCAGTCATTCTATGCTTCAACAGAAATGCGACAAGCTGAGCTGGGGCGGATCCAGGGGTGGTTCGGTCAAATAACCTACATTTTCCCTCAGAACGCTGGAAATCATGTTTCCGAAGGCCTAATTTTCAAAATCTTGGACCCCTCAGAAGGGGAACAATTCTCCGAACCCATCTCTGAACCCCCCTCCGAACCCCCCTTTACTAAATCCCGGATCCGCCCCAGCTGAGGCAGTTCTGCGCTTCTAGTCCCGTATGTCATTACCTAACTCTCACCTCCCGGTCTTTTATTTTTTGTCCGTTAGATGTTGTTGAACCTGCATAAGAAGACGTGGATGGATGGTTTGACTTTGCAAGATTATGATGACCATTGCGCAATGAATCAGAAAACTGTTAAAGTAAGTTGTACGTCCTTCATGGAAATGAAGTAAAGCCAAAAGTTCCTTGGAATTACCGTGTAATTTTTAAGGCCTCCCCATATGTCGTTTCATAGTAGTGCCTGATTCTAGAGCAACATAGTTTTAACCAGCGGCGTACTGATCGAGGTCCTTTTCCGGCGAAAACCACTTTTTGTGAAAAATCTTCTTCAACAAGATTATCATTCGAATAAGTAAAGATTTGTTAAAACATTTTACAATAAAAATCTGCGATAAAATACTGGAAAATATTACACGACGTTTCCAGAACGTCATTATCAAGTGAGAATTATTATTATATTTTATGTTATAATTATTATAATATTTATCATTATTATTATTATTATTATTATTATTATTATTATTATTACTGATACTGCTTGAGAGATGCACATACTGGGTACGAAGAAAGTAATGTGAAGGCCTAGCGGCTGTTACTCTTTCTCAAAATGATTCTCCCATACAGTTCGCGAATACTATTTTAAGTATAACCCCCACTGCTTCTTTCGTAGCTGTTGAGAGAGTTGAACGACGGCTGCATCGGCCATTCGAGTGACATCTAGTACATGTGACCGTTGAATTGTCCTTAATTTAAGGTATACAGTTTTCAAGGAGTCTTTTATTTCTTGCAGGAAATGTTGGAGCTTGTCAAGAGTTACCACAAGGTAAAATTTCTATTTTAAAAGAGCGTATGAATATAACCCTGCTTTTAGTGCTAAGAAGAGTTTTTTAGTTAATTTTTCTCCTCCTCCGTTTTTGTTAGGCTGTGGAAGAGGAAGATACTATGACTCCAGAACAACGCGCCATAAAAAATGTCGGAAAACAGGTCAGTTGCTACAAGATTTTTTGGTTTCGCCACTCTATAGAATTTCCCAGTTATGCCTCAAGCTTGGACGTCAGGAGAAGTGGCTGGTAAGGCTCTATTTCCGCTTCTCCATCACGGATTTAGCCAACTACCAACTACAGAGGGGTGACAACCCGAGGGAGGTTTGGGTCGAGTCGGGTTCCAAACCTCCCTCGTTTCATCCCTGCGCTCTTATAAGCGCTGTTTACTATCGCGCTTCGTTTTACTAAAAGAACGCTTTCGACAAGTTATTTTGGGTTCGTTTTTCGATTCTCACGGAGCGCGATCTCATTCCACGACCAGCGTCTGGTAGACCACCCACTCATAACGAAATGGGCTTTTCTCTGTTGTGAGAGTCTTCTTTTCATCCTGATAGGGGACGAAATTTTGTGCAATCAAAATGTTTTATTCCTTTCTTTTTGTATTTTAGGATCCCAAGCGGCATCTAGAAGAGAGCGTTGAAGTGATGATGACGTCAGACATCGTCCAGTGCCTCGGCGCTATGCTCAACTCAGTCGTCTTCTAGGTGTTTGAACCAATCTGTTCTCTTTGTATAATAATTAAATTACAGCAAGAATGTGTTCAAGTGTGAATGTCTTTACCAAACTTGTCTTTCTAAAGCTTAAGGAACGAGAGGTTTTTTCTCCCCTATTTTTTTTATAGGAAGTGTATTCAGATGCCTCCAACCTCGACTTCGTGTACTGGACCCAATCTTTCTCGCACGGGTCCAAACATATCGGACTAAGATGAATTTCGACCCCAGTCTCATTTAAGCAGAGAGGGCTAGGTTAAAAATCAGGGAAATAAAATGGAGTTCGCATTAGCAAAATAAAACCAGAAACGAAAATTACAAAGATGTTGTTTAATTCATAAAGAAATGACAAATAAGGTATTTTGGACTGAAAAAAAAAACTTCAATCGTTACCATCAATTCCTACTTAAATAAATCGCTTCACGTGGAGTATGGAGGTACACTTACCCAACGCTTCAGTGATGTGTGTACGTTGAGGCATCTGGTGTTCAAGGCTGTTTCATCTATGGCCCGGTGATACAATAAGTGGGCTACTGACAAAGTACAGAGTCTTAACACCACCTATTTTTGTATCTGCCCTAATCACGCAGAAAAGAAAATCGCTGTTATTCGCAAGAGAGGATAGTTTCACACCTCAAAACCCCTAGATCTAATTATCAAACGTCCTTTCCAGCCGCTGGAAAGCTTAATACTAGAGACCATCAGAACCAATTCTCCCCTTCAAGCTGTTGTACACATCGTTATAAATTAGTTGAGATAATTTGCTTTTAGATCAAAATGATCTTCTCTGGCTGACAACTTTTCTCTTTCCTTCACCCGTTAGTTCAATAATGGTAGGAATCGCGAAGTAACACGACACTCATTCAGGCAGATTTCCCTCGCCTCTCGTCCATCAGGGACAAAACTTCATTGTGAGGTCGGAAAAGTTGTTTCTTGATACTTTCGAGGTTTACCTAGCCTCGTCATTGACTTGAGACCCTTAAAAGGTACGGCAGAAAACCGACCATCATCTTCAAGGCCGAGGAAGGATGAGCACTTGCCTCCAAAGAGATTCTTGAAGCCACTCAAATGAAAAAATTCTGTTATATCGAATAACTCTGAAAATATTTTATGCTACAGAAGGACGTGACAAGTACGGGGTGTCGATAAAATCAAAAGATTCATATGAACCTTAACCCTGCCACAAACGCACAGTATAGTGTTCGTACGAGTAGTGCATAACCTCTTACGCCCTAGAATTCTAAGATAGCAGTTTCCAGGCCTGCAAAGCCACTTTCACAAGACATCATAAGGTAACTGGGGCACAACGTAACGAAAACACTATAATGGCACCTTAGGACTAGCAGCATATCCCTGCGGCTCGTATGCCTCATGCAAGTGACATGGCCCTAGTGGCCTTTGATGACAATCCTGTGTCGCCAGGAAGAAACCAAACGACCCGTGCACAAAATTAACCCTTTACACCCCAACAACACCGTGCCTATTCTCCGAACTGTTCTCTTTAAATTTCCTAAGGTGCTAACAAGGAGAATTTGCTTTACAGTCAAGAGCCCCTTAATTTGGCAAGGGCGTAGCCGGGGGGGTCCTGGGGTGCCCGTGACCCCCCCTTGGTAGGCCTTCTTTGGAGAAAACAACCTACAATATCCAGGTAGCGAAAACGCCATGACAATATCTTGGCCGTAAAAGCCGTTGTTGAAAAGCCCACTTTTTTAAAAATTGGGTTTTTTGTGTGAAGTATTTTCGACAACGGCTCTTGTATTTAGTTAATATGGGCCTTCATGCCGCGATAATACGACTGAGCCCACTCATACACGCGGGAGAGCAGCGGTGTAAATGGTGAGTAGCCCCCTTTGATAAATTCTGGCTACGCCCCTACTTGGTGATCATTTTCTTTATTCTCCTGACCTTAATGTGTGATTCAGTCGTGATATTGTACGGAGAAATTACATGCTAGTCACTGTTAGGGGTCAAGAGGTTGAGAATCTGAGGCGCGGTTGCATAGCATACTTAGGGTTCTGCTATCCCACTCCGGCAATCAGTGCAGCAATCCTACAGTGACTGAAATGGAACATTTCCGAGACACCAACATCCTGATCGCAAGTTTCTCAAAACACAATCATCGCAAAACCGGGGCAGAACACGACGACCAAAAATTCTTTGACACTAAGACTCTCGTGAATCGCATATCTACACTCATCCGTGAGGAACTTAACATACGACCCTAGGTTCTCATGCAATAATCCTATGGAAGCCAAGAAATAACCGATCGACACACGTTCCATGACTCTATGGCCAGCATTAGTAACATCTGGAAAGAACTCTCTTTACCACGGGCGCTATACGGTCCCAGAAGACATCCTCACAACAAGTGAATCTGAAACTGAGAAAACAAAGATGGTGGCACCTACCTGCAGATCGAGTATTTTTCACGAGTGTTGTAGTGACACGGCCAAGCAGAACTTACCTTGTAACAATCAGGTACTTAAAACCCATTCCAACTCATCGCAACCGCTCTGGAATCACACGAACTTCCCATGAAGAAACAGAACTCTCATCGACATTACAACTATCAAAAGTGCAAAACACGGAGACCTTCAAGAACCGCCATGCTTTTTCGTACCCCTACTGCATGCATAATCGATTCTCCACGGCGCCGAATTACACTCGTGGACTGTGTGTATTTGATCCAACGTCCCACACCACCCCCACAGGGTACCCTTATTCATTCCCTTATGATTCACTACGACACCCTTATCACGACACAACCGCATCTCTTCAATTTACCTTAAGCACCAGTACTAATTTACTGTAACAATTGTGTGATGTTTTCTTTTCCTTAAACGAATAAAGTGATTCTAATCGCCAAACTTCGAAACTTTCGATTGGAGCAGCATCGCCGGACATTTGCCACAATTTTGCGAAGTGCAGCCAAGAGGAATAAATTTCTCTACTACAGGCCTAGAAAGACCTGAAGCGCCTTTCTCAGTGTTTAATCTTGCAGTACCTCATAAAGAGTATCAGTTCCCCTTGAATACAACTACGACTGCAGTACAAAGCACCCATAACACGACCCCAAGACACCCTTGTCGAGACCCCACGATACCATGATGTGAGACAACCGCTTCATGCTTAACATGAAGAAAGTCGTGCAGAAAATTTACAACCTGAGATTTCTAGAGAGTAACCCTTCAAATCTCTTGTCAAAGCCTTCAAGGACCATAAATTAAATGACTTCACAACTGTCCTACAGCAAGAAGTCGTGACATGAGATCATTGATTTTTAGCTCCGTCGACGAAAAATCTTCACGACGCGTTCGCTATTACCGATCCTAACGATATGCTCCACTCTGATTGCCGTCACGTAAAAACCTCGCACGCAAATTTGCTGTAACTCAATGGCAGAGCGTCAAACCGCGAAATCCGAAGGTCTTACTGTGGTTTGACTCTTCGATTTTCCTCTTTTTACCAAAACAAACGAGATTTTATATTCAAACCTCCCACATAACGTGACCCTGAGACTGTATAGGGAACTAACTGCACCAAAATGAAAGAACCTAGAGATTATACACCGCGCCCTTAATACGACTCCGTCGTAGACCACTGTACCTCCCGACCCATCTCACTCACGTCCCTTTGGTAACTCACCCCAGCAGAGAAACAAACAAGGCATTTATTTCAACGTCATTTAAAGCATGTTATCCCTAAACTAACTGAGAACCCTACAAGAGTGATCATGTTTCAGCCAAAACCTTCCTACAAAGCAGAAGAACAAAACCTTTCTCCCACAACCTGTCAAATACTGCATGTTGTTTCTTAACAAGAATAAACAATCAGTCAGTGCTAAAAGATGCGCCACTCTTCCATGCGAAACCACTAAGGTCAATGTGCAGTTTCTAAAACCAAATTGTAAATATTGTACTCAGCCAAGAACGTATCGGCAAAGTCCTCCTGTAGCTTCAAAATCACGAAGTATAAATGGGGAAAAGACAATCATGATTTGCCAAATCATCAAAGGCACTCTGTACGACCTACATGTGACAAAGGTGAACACTTCCAGACGCTAGTTAATCAAAAGAAGGGAAAACAAGACAATTCGAAGAGAAATCCAGATAAAACAACGGAGCAGTTTCAACTCGAATCCTTCCTCGGGGAGCCTTGGTAAATTCCTATCATACCATCCACATTTGTACCAGCTTGAACAAATATTTCCTATTTAAAGAACACCTGTAGAAGGCAAACTGGACTGAAGAAAGAGGAAACTTGGTCACGGAGGCAATAACTCTAAACTGAAGAGAGTTAACAGCATGAAATGCTGGTCTAGTCAAAAACAAATTCCTCAGAACATCAATTCACAAAGCCTTGGAGCACAGCTGAACGCTTCCCATTAGCCCAACCTATCCATCCTCACATCGAGTTCACGGCCATCAACCATCGCTCCATTAAACATAGCTACACATAAGTCAAGGAATAAGCTTTTAACGCGCGAAAGGTTCCAGCTACGTCTAAAACTAAAACCAAATAAATCGCAACGTCCAATCCAATAACGGTAATAGCCACAAGGAGCTAATGAAAACACATGTATTGGGCCGTGCCCTTGGGAAAAAGAGAAAAAGTGAGGCACGACTGCCTTGACTTTTTTACGTTGTTTGGAAAGGTGAAAGATTTTACCAATCACTGGGTAAAAATTTGGATTTCACTTCAGTGAGATGCAAAAACTTGAGGCGAATGTTATCCTTCTGAAAGCAAAAGGCATCAGTAATGTTTTGTTTCCCTTTGGCCCACTGACCGACCTTTACAAAAGAGGCTTCCAGAAACCAAATCATACATTTTCAATACAGCTCTACAAGTGAGAGCAAATGCTCCAGTTTATCGGGCAACTTCATGGTTAACATAACATTGTTTCATTTTCAAAGGATACTTATTGCATGTGCAGCGTCCTCTGGTGCATCAAACAGTACTGTACCACAGCCCTTTGATCTTCCACTGGATTCAGTCATGATGTCAGCTCGAAGCACTCTTCCTATGGGCAACAAAAAGTAGATTTAGTCCATGATGAGGCACTTTCATATTGTGCATTATCCGTATTACTATGCTCTGATACGCTTTGGAATTTAACCAATCGCATTAACCGGTTTACAATTTTGAAAGGAAATTTTTTCAGGTGCCCCCAGGTTTGGAAACGAGGCCAGATCACATCACTGTTAATAATAATAATAATCGACTCTACTTAAAGAGTAAAGGCTGATAGTTTCGAAAGAAACTGTTTGGGGCTGCGTCGGTGGGAGTAACGAAATAATTTGGATATATCAACAAAGTTGAAATGGTAAATTGGCCACCGTAACGATTACAAAAGCTGACGTTTCGAGCGTTAGCCCTTCGTCGGAGCGAATAGAGGAATTGTGGGCTGTGTGTGCTTTTAAAGACAGAAAATGGAGCTACGTTATTGGTGGGAACATGGCAACGAGAAAAACACGAATAAATTAGTGGAATGAAAAGCGTTCGTTGATCCCTGTGGGATTTAGACTGCCGGTTTGAAAGATGAGCTTTTGTTCAAGAGTTTTACGGCTTTCCGTGCTACCTAAGTGTAAGGAAAGACCGCAGATTGCCATATGTTGCTTAGAATGATTAGGTAAATTAAAATGTCTAGCGACTGGTTTCGATGTGTCCTTGTCATTCCTTTCCACGTCTCGAAGGTGTTCTCGGAATCGGTCACCTAGTCTTCTGCCTGTTTCGCCGAAGTATATCTTCTTGCAATAAGTGCAAGTTATGCAATAGATTACATTGGCGGAGGTGCACGTGAAGTGATCGGTGATCTTAATGGATCGTTTAGGTCCCGATATTTTATCAGTGTTGTGAATGAAAGGACACGTTTTGCATCGTGCACGAGCGCATTTTAAAGTGCCTGGTTGGTCATTAGTCTGAAAAGAACTTCTGACCAAAAAATTGCCTATGTTTTTGTCGCGTTTGAATGAAAGGAGCGGAGGCTGCGGAAAGATAGTGCTTGTCTCTGGATCGTTTTGAAGTAATTTAAAGTTTTTAAAGTTTTTAAAGTTTGCTTGAACCCAATTCCTCTCCTGAGTGGAAAGAGCCACTGAAAGGAAAAGGAATCTTTCCTTGACACAAAACAACATTACTCACAATGGCCTTTAGTTCAAAACCTTTGAATCACATTTGAGCACAATAATCACTTGGTCACTTCTTGTCCTACAATCTGTATGTAATGCTAACTATACATTCAAAAGTAATTACAACATCACCTGCTCCTTTGAACTTGTCTTTCAAGTCTTGCCAAGTGTAGCGCCAAGGAAGCTGTGGAAATTTTCAAGTCAAAACGAAGGAAGAAAATGAAAATGCAAAGTCATACCACTGTACAAGAAAAGCAATCTTGTGAGTGACGAAAACTCAGAGATAATTCATAGTAAGTTACAGTAGAGACAAGACTGACCTCTAGTAAGACATTCAGTGTCTAAAGTTATATTTTTCAATCCAACATTTTGACCCTTTTTTTCCAATTTTATCCATTTGTATGTTATATTCAGTAACTTACATTCCTGACAAAGACTTGTCTCCCTGAACCTCCACCGTCGCTGTGGAGGGATGAGCCAAGCCCACCCATTCCACTGCTGCTGCCACTGCCGCTACCACCTCCTCCTCCTCCACCAAAACCAAGAGAATTGCCCAGCATCCCCAATCCACCAAGAGCAGCCAGGGGGTTAGCAGCAGGGGAATCACCCATACCACCAGACCCACCACCTCCACCCAGTGCACCAAGATTACTGGTCAACTGCGCCAGGGTACTCAGACCCTGAAGACTCTGAAGCAGCTGAAGAACTGCCATGGGGTTCATGTTGTTTCCACTGGCTCCTCCTCCTCCACCTCCTCCCCCACCTCCACCTCCTCCCCCACGACCCATGTTTGAATTGTTCATGCCCAAATTACTCAACTGCTGCATGATGGGGGCATTGCGATCCTTAAGGGAAAGAAAGGATTTAAGTGTGTTGCATTTGTGAGAAAGGAGGTTAAGCCTAAATTTGAGAAGCCTGTAAGCGTGCAAGAGCTCAATACAGTTTCTGTAGTTAAACCTTTCACTCCCAAGATATCAGTCATAATTCTCCTTACTGTTTGCTTTACAATTCTTAAGATGTCAGTTTGGAGAATTTATAATTGGATCAACTTATGATCCCCTTGTTGATATTTCTCTTTATTCTCATCACTTGTCTGTTTGATGTGGTATTGATACAGTCAGGAGAAATTCTGTCTTGGGAGTTTAACAGTTACACAAAAAGGAGCACTGAGCAGTACTCTTCCAAAAATGGATGCTAATAAATCCAGTTGTTCACCCCCCCNACTAAGCACGGTCCAAGATAATTCTCAATAAGATTGAGCATGAAAATATATCAATTTTGCTAATGTAGGACAAATTTCTAGCTAGTAACTTTAACAATGTTCTCCCACTTGAGCCAAGGAGACTCTTGTTACTAAAAATAATGAAATAAATAGGTGAATATAGACCACTTTCATAAATGGCTGCTGTATAAATATTCTTTTGTTTAAATTTAATTAGCCCTTCTGGCCTTGCTTGAAGTAATGTATTCTTTTGAATTTTGTACTGGAGAATGAGGCCAGTAGGGCTAATTTAAATTTAAACAAAAGAATATTAATCCAGCAGCCATTTATGAAAGTGGTCTATATGAATAAAGCTATATGAGCAAATTTTTTAAGGTTACTTAATTAAGAATAGATGATCAATTTTTGAACATACCAGCCTGACACTCATTGCTCTGTCACTGAGAACATGACCATGAAGCATAGCTGATTTAAGTTAAGGATCTATGACTGAAATAAAGTTTACCAAGCCACGTTTGAGAAATCCTTCTTGCCAATTTGGTAGTAAACCAACTAAAACAAAATGGTAGAGACTATTCAAGCCCCCAAGTCATCAATGACATCAGTATCACTGATGCTGTAATCATCACTGTTAAACATGTTCTATCAACTTGTTCCATTTTTGTTTCCCTGTAAGTTCCAGAGAACTATTAATTTTTATCCATCTGAAATAGAGAAAATTATGCACTTTCTGAATACAATCCACAAAAAAAGGATACAAACTGCATTGATTGCTTCTGAAGCTGTTTCAAACTGTACAGTGCCAAAACCTTTAGATTTATTATCAGAGTCCAAATTGATATCTGCACGAACAACATTACCTGCAAAACAACCATAATTATAACAATAACTAAAGAATAATTCCGTAGAACCAACTGAACAAGAAACAATGGAATTGAATGTCTTGCAAACAAATCAGAACATCTTCATGTAGATTGTATGTTGGGCAGTTAAAATCATACCAGCTCCTCTGAAGGTGTCCTTCAATTTCTGCCAAGTTACTTTGTAGTCAAGCTAGAAGAAAAAGGTAGAAATAAATCTGTGAGCCCTTTACTTTACTTGATAATGGACTACCATAGATAAAAAAGGATGATGAATGTTTATTATGTGTTCAGTTAGAACATGCACTATGATTGGTCAATTTGGCAGGCTGTATTTTACTGTACTGCTGCTGTAAATTCAAAAGTTGTTTGAATTGTAATCTTTCCTTTCTCTTTTCAACCAGAGATATAATAAAGAAGCTCTTGATTGTTAAACAAATTCTCCTTGTCTCACCTTAAGAAATGTATAAAGAACAGTATGAAGAATATGCATACTGATGTTAGAGTGTAGAGGGTTGACAAGTTGTTTTCTTGGCCTATTCTATATGTTACTTTTTGGCAAGTTACCTGCTCACATTATGCTCTGCACGCTTTGTGCTTGGGCCATAAATTTCAGTGGAAATAACTCAGTCAGCGACTTACAGTACAGACCTTGATTCTATTTGTACTTGACATCTATCCCTACCAATACTTACATTGCTCACAAACACAGTACATGATAATGGATCTGTCCTGTAATTCAGTCCTTGAGCAAAATTGTTATTTCCCAAGCCCAACAGGTTGGCAAGAGGCCCACTGCCACCCCCAAGGCCCAGATTTCCACTACCAAGACCACCTCCCAGATTACTACCATGAGACATGCCCCCTCCAGTGAGAGAGGGAAGATCCCTTGGGTCAGGGCCCCTTGGGGGAGGCCTACTGCGTCTATCGCTCTCTTCAATACGATCCTGGAGGGTAAAGGAGAATAAAATCAAGAATTTAGCTTTCGGTATCAAGGGAGAGATGCAGTAACCCATTTGCTGGTATGCTAGACCTTGATTGGGGTCCATGTTTTAGGTTCATAAAAGTACGGGGGAGGATGATGCTGCAATACCTGTCTCTACATAGCTGTATAAACAGACAAAACTGTCCAGAGAACATGCCACTGTGTTTCCTTTCTTATGCCCTAGACATACGGGTAAAACATGGGTCTGGTTCATCGGTCAAGCGTATACAGTCAAACCTAGTATACCAGTATCTGGAACTCAGTTATCCAGATTTTTCAATTATCTGGACTTGCTTCTCTGGTCCTACTATCTAGGAACATATTTTCAATTATCCGGATCATTAAGCCCTGTTCCCTTGAGTTTGGATAATCAAGGTTCGACCATACTGGTAAACATTCTGCATGCAATATACCTCACGAATGTGTATGGGTCTGCCTCTGAACTCTGTTCCATGAAGATCCTTGATGGCTTTATCTGCATCATCTCTGTTTCTGAACTCAACAATACTTGGAGCAAAAGACAAATAATAGTAAGATTTTTAAAAAAAATTGGTTGAAGTTTTAGAAGTTACAAAACCATAAATGATACCATGCGATGACTTCATTCATATTAAAAACCTGTACTTTCCTGTAAATTTAAAACTATCTTTGTAAACTGTAGCCACCTACCCACATCCCTGCAAAAGAGTAAAACAGAAAAAAATAGAGGGTAAGAACACTAATTCAACCATTTCAATTCCAGAAACAGATTAATGTAAAAAAGTTCCATCTTATTCTTAAATTCAACTTCTAAACTACCCCCCCCCCCCAAAAAAAAAAAATGAAAAATTAATAAAATTCCACACATCAAACTCCATGAATTTATTTCAGTGCCCCTGTGAAAAATATGGGCCAAAACGTTGCCTTTTGATCACCACCTTTGAAAATATTTTCCAAAGAAAACAAAATTTGTCAGCTTCATTAGAGAAGAAATCAAAGCCCTCCATACTAGAAATCTTGCCATCCTCAGAGGGGAAGGAGGAGTGTATGTGAAAGATTGAATGCTGTCATTTTCAATCACGTCTGTACTACAGTAATACAAACTGTTAACAACAGATTAAAACTCTTTCCTTGTTTCAGTACCTTCGATTTTCCTTGACCATCTTCAATAATATCAACAAATGCAACATCTCCAACTATAAAAAAATATATATATATATATCATTTTACATTCACATCATCGACCACAAAATTAACACTTGCAAGCAATGAAACCCTTTGATTTATTTGTTTAAGGACTAAAGCGATCAACGCTGGTTTGAAACAAATAGCAAAGCAAATCCACTTAGTTTAAAATCACTTTGACCCAAGACGTCGTTAGAGGTTAGAACGTAGCCTCCGATACAAACACGGTGGTTTACAACCGCCGATCTCGTCTAACGCACACAAGTATTTGTTATTTAGCAAATAAAATGTCGTGGCTCTTTATACCTGTCGCTGGAGCTTGTAGTTGTTTGGGAAATAATTTTATTTCTGTATTTCTCTAGACATAACTATTTTAAATACACCAACAAAAATAAAATTTTTACCCTTCTTCATAAAATCCTTCAAATCTTGCCATTTAACAGCATATGAAAGGTTCCAAACGTAAACACGGCATTCTTTTCCTCCGCCTCCAGACTGTCGCCTCGAACTTGACCGCTCATCGCGCGAAGGATACGGGGCGTACCTACGATTCTCTCGTCTCAAATCCCTCTCATATTCCCCGCCTCTTCTCCGCCGATCTCTGTCGTCATGATCACTTTCTCTGCTACCTTCTCGTTCATCCCTGAGGTCTTGATCACCAGGAGAATCGTCCCTCCGACTTGAATTTGAGTACAAAACATCTTCATGATCCGCCATGTTGTCCCTTCTGATGACTCCAAGCTGTGTGACCACGTCGGTTACAAATAAAAATTATCGTATGGAAGGGGAGGGTAAAGTAACGGATTATCTAATAATTAAATTATATTAAAGAAATTTTGACTGTGCTTGCGAAGAAAAACTTTAGAAATGACTAGAATTAAATATATCTCGACTTATACGTTTATTATACAAAAAATAGACCTATATACAATAGACATATGTTTTTGATTTTTTTTGATAATTATCTCTGTAGGAGGGGAAGGGAGTTGTATGTTTTTCCTTTCCTCTTGAATGATTGCGGGCTCATCATAGTCATGCCTTCTTTCGGTCGCCTTGCAAAACTCAAGAAAAACCGAAACAGAGGAAATAAGCTGAATTTTTACGGCGATCTATGATGGCTCAATCCCTTTGCTTACGGCCATGAGCTAATCTACTAAACTTGCTTCTTTTAAGATGTCTGCGAAAGGGTATGTCTCTTAATGAAATTTTTTACACAGTCAGAAATGCATCGATGTCGGAATATTTGAGCTTCTATCAAAATATGAACTTCTCGCGGAAACTTAGAGTTTACTTTCTTTCCTAACAAGGAGTGAGCTGCGAAAATTAAGCGAAGAAAGCTTGACCAGGCCGCCCGAAGAAGTCTTTGATGTCCTCGAAAAGCTTGGCGAAGGGTAAGGTTATTTCCTTCTCTGCAGCATACATAAGTAAGTTAAGTCAATTAGCCAAGAAATGGCCTGCGGTACTAGTAAAAGTTCAGTGCATATATCAAAGTTCAATATTTCCAGTAGCCGGCTTTTTATTAAATTATTTTTCGAAGACACTTTTTTTTATATATCGTAATTATTGAACAACTCCTCGAAACTATCGTTTCATTTAATCTATATGCATTTGCAACAAATAAATTGCATGTTGAAGCCACACATATAAACTTAATCGAAGCCATGAAGTTTGTTTAGCAAGCTTATATTGAGGATAATTTAGTCAGTACAATGTCTTTGATGTTATTACTCTAGCAACCTTGCTGCTTCCTCCTGTTTCATTTTCGAGATTGCGTGCGTAAAATGTTCTCGAAGATGCTATACATTATCAGCGAAGTTGTACCAACACTATAAATGAAAATAATGAATATTCTGTTGTATAATTTTCGACTCTTTGATGATATCCTTGCTGTACAGATAAGTCGCATTTACAGCGGCATGTTTCTAGAGAGTTCTCCCGTGACATGTATTTCTCCGAAGTGTAAATAGAAAGGTCTTTTCTCTAATCCAAAAAAATTTCCTGGAGAAGTATTGTTGACAGGTTTCCTCCTCATATATGCAATAGTACACATGCACTGCCCATGAAAGACTTACTGCAGCAAATGAGGTTTAATTTTTTCAAAAGCTGGGTTATCATTCTGTAATTTCTCCTTTTGATTTGGTTGAAAACTTATAATCCAGCTAGATATAGAATGTATCTCAGTAGTTTTACATGCTGTTTGTTGAATTCCCAGATTGAAATAAAATTAGATATTAGTCTTCTACAAAAGAGGAAAATGAGAAAGTTTCCTTTCCCTAAAGCAATGGTTTATATTTTCAATCTGTTATGGTTTCAAAATTTTTAGGGATTCTCTATTATTATCACGTGGTTCTATTTATAAATTAACTTTTTAGCCCTCAAGATCGGATTGTTTATTCTCCCCACCCTGCTACATATTTCTCAGTAAATGAGATGTGAGAATTTGGTGTTAGACCAAGATAAAAACTTCCACCTGAAAAAATTTGAGTATTCTCATTACCTGTCTGTTGGATGATGTATAGATCTATATTACAGGAAGAAGTTACATGTTAAATCAAGGTGAACTACTATCAGACATCTCTAGATTTCATGATAATTTGGTTTTATCAACTGAGTTGATAAAGTAAATTGACCACTGTAAAGTGTTTGAGAGCTGATGTTGTGAGCATTACCCTTCATCAGAGCAAATGAATCTCCAGATTTCAGACTGTTTGGAGAGAATGCTAAATGCTCAGTCACTCTTCTTTTCCTTGCCAGTTCCTATGGCTCTGTTTATAAAGCAATGCACAAGGAAACAGGTCAAGTTGTTGCCATTAAACAAGTACCAGTTGACACAGACCTGCAGGAGATTATCAAAGAAATTAGTATGATGCAGCAGTGTGATAGGTATTTTAGTTTTTTATTTTTATCAGTTCTATTAAATGAATTATTTGGATTGGATTTGTGATTGTTAAATTTTAGCTTTAAAACTTTACCACTAGTAAACTGCTCAAAGTGGTCTGGCCAAAGTCCCTCTCAAAGTGTTGTAAAGCGTCACAAGTTGTGGGATGTGGTGCCATAGAAATCCTCATTATTATTATTTGTTTTATTATTATTACTGTTATCACTTCAATGTTGAACAAAATTATTTATTTAATGAACATATTTCTGCTAACAAGCCTTTCAACGATCTTTTGAATTTGATATTTTTGCAGTCCATATGTTGTGAAGTATTATGGAAGCTACTTCAAGAACACAGATCTTTGGGTAGGTATTATTGACTTTCATTATCTTTTTTTATAATCAACGAAATAAAGGAATGGAATCTGAAAGTGATGGTACAGGTACATCTTCCACAGGGTGGGGCTCTTGATAAATGCAATCCCTTTCCGACTTCCCTCCTCTTTTTCTTCTCATGTTTTCCTCTCAACTTCAAGGGCAGGTTGATTCTTTTTCAAGTGGCTGGGAAATAGAATTGTAAGAATGCAGTCATGTGGATATACATGTACTGTATGTTTAAAATCTTGCTTTATATAACCACCATAGGCCTGAAATAAGCAAATTTTTGTCTTCAATTCCAATCTCAAATTTTCCAAAGTATATATATCTGCCTTCATGGAAAAAATTTCTTTTTTTCCTCAGCATGAGGGTCTTTTATTTAGCTAAATGACAGCATATGATATTTTTTTCAAATTCTCCGATCTTATACTTTTCAATTCTGCTAATAACATTTAACAAGTATTCCTTGAGGGCATGTTGGATATAAGAGGGGAAATAGCTGTTGACAGGTGCATCTAGTATGAGTTTGCTATCATCAACCTTGTATCCATCAAGCACTGATGGAACATTGATTGTACTGTCTCTTTTTTTTTTTAAACCTGAACATTTGGATTTTTTTGAGCCTTTTTTAAGCTCTGCAACAGTTGGTGCAATGCATTTCTATATAAGGTGACTTACAATATGTGCTGATGACTGGAGTTGAGTGAACCAATCACAAAAATAGAAATGCGATATTCAGAGTTGAAAATTTAATAAGTAGAGGAGAACTTGTGAGTGTAATGGCATTTTCATCGCTCTTTTAGTGATGTCTCGAGGGACTCAAGTGTAATAAGTCTGTTTATGAGCCGGTGGCCCATCATTGTCTGGTGCTTAACTCTGGTTTCCATAACATGAAGCGATTAGGAGTATTTCTACTCCCCCCTGGATGGGATGCTAGTCCATCGCAGGGTTACCCCCCAACATTAATTGCCGGTACCCATTTAAACACCTGGGTGAAGAGAGGCACTGTGAGAGTAAAGTGTCTTGCCTAAGAACACAATGTCTCCAGCCAGGACTTGAACCCAGACCATTCGATCCAGAGTCGAGTGCACCAACCATGAGGCCACCGCGCCTCTCACTCAAGTGTAATAACACTATTATATTCATGTTTTTTTTCTTTCTAACCAGATTGTTATGGAATTCTGTGGTGCTGGCTCAGTGTCAGATTTAATGAAAATAAGAAATAAAACTGTAAGTAAAACTGCTGTTGATTTTGTGTTCAGCTTGGTAATGTCTTCTGATTAGACCCAATTGTAGAAAGGGAAATGAAGAAGGAAAGTGACAAATAATAATTTTTTCATTTCTTTATGCCGACACATACATTGAGGAATTCACTCTAAGTTGTTTGTTACATGTAGCAGGGGTTTGACCATAAGTCAGTAAGTGTCTGTAGTAAATAAATCATCATTAGGAGCTTTACATTGTGTGTGGTCAATAATAAACACCATGAAAAATGGTTAAGAAAATTATTATTCATCAATGAATATGTTATTTTTTTATTTCAGTTGACAGAAGAGGAAATAGCATGTATATTGAAGTACACTCTCAAGGGACTTGAATATCTTCATTTGAGAAGAAAAATACACAGGTTTGCTTTGCTTTATTTTAAAATGTGTTATAAAAAAAAAAAAAAAAAAGAACGATTGATTGAAAGTGCCATTACATTAAAGTTGTTTTTCAAAAATTTGAGTCACAGCTATTTTTAGAGAGAGTGCTTGCTTAATTTAAGGTTTGTTGACTGATTAAATTAACCTCAACACATGCAGAAAAACTTTTGGTAGAGAGGTAATCAGTGGCTGCACACTTGGCATCCATGCTTGTATGAACTGACTTTAAAACTATTTTTGTTCATTGTAAGTGATGCATTGTTTCTACTATTTCAGAGACATCAAGGCAGGGAATATCCTGCTTAATGCAGAGGGCCATGCCAAACTTGCAGACTTTGGGGTTGCTGGTCAACTCACTGTAAGTCAGCTTAAGGGCTTCTAATATTACTGGTATTTGCATCTTTACATGGAAAGAGGGCTTGTCTGAAGCTTTGGCTTTTCTGGGTTGTTTAAAATATTTATGGTACAACTTTAAGCAAAATAAAAGGAACATTGTGACCTGTACTTCTCCCTTTCAGAGAAAAAGGCTGAGCTTGTTGCAACTGCATCTCTTTGCCTATTTCCTTGGAGGGAAGACTTAATGTTGAACTTTCCTTTCGGACAGAGTTGATAAATGTTGTCTACTAATATTTTATTTTTGGTAATTTATTCATCTCTTCTGAATGTTCATTGGTTATTGAGTCTTACCTTTTTTTTTCTCATTTTTCTCTATGGAATTTCAATATTTCCCATCTGTGTATGACTTTATGAATTCTGAATTTATTTCACTTAGGATACAATGGCAAAAAGGAACACAGTTATAGGAACTCCATTTTGGATGGCCCCTGAAGTGATACAGGTCAGAGGTTAAAGTTTTAACAATGTACTGGTAGTAAGCTCCATTCTCTGCCTTTAACAGCACACACAACCCACAATTCCTCTATTCGCTCTGACGAAGGGCTAACGCTCGAAACGTCAGCTTTTGTAATCGTTACGGTGGCCAATTTACCACTTCAACTTTGTTGATATATCCAAATTATTTCATTACTCCTACCGACGCAGCCCCAAACAGTTTCTTTCAAAACTATCAGCCTTTATTCAGTTGAAAAAAATTGTCAGATTATAGTCAGAAAACTGTGAACACTACAGATTTTAGACTGGAATGTTGTTGAACAAGCTCAGTGAGTAGCAAAATGTGTTGACTGATCAGTATTTCATCTATTAGAAAGTGTTTTTTTTTTTTTTTTTTTTTTCAATTTCTTTTTTTATTCAGGAAATTGGCTATGACTGCTTAGCAGATATTTGGTCTCTAGGAATTACAGCAATAGAAATGGCAGAAGGAAAACCTCCTTATGCAGATATTCATCCAATGAGGGTTAGTATAATTAATTTTTATACTTATTGTTCAAAGTAAAAATTCTCCTCACAGGTGGTCTTAAAATCCTTTTGCTGTTATTCATTAGAAATTTAAGATTTTGCAAGATACCACTTCGGTGGACGAGGGCATAATTATTTTCCCAGCAAACTGTACAGGGGAAGTCAAAACGTTAACCTGGAGTAACTTACAAAAAAACTAGCATTCCATCACTTACGTGTAATCATTCAAGTCATTGAATTTGTGAACTAAGAGTAGTCTGATTTTAACCCAATTTTGATTTATAGGCAATATTTATGATTCCAACCAAGCCCCCTCCGACGTTTAAAGATGACGAAAGATGGAGCATGGAATTCTTGGACTTTGTTAGCAAATGTCTTGTGAAGAATCCAGAGGAAAGGGCGACTGCTACGCAGCTGTTACAGGTAAGTGTCGAGGCTTAGCTGAAGGGCGTGTCCTGGGTTATTTGAACCCCTCTAAGTCATTTACGTGGATGATACGAGTTGTGAAGATTTTGGATTTGGGCCAACGCCACGACAGCAACTGGTAGACATAAAATTCTTCCCCTAACAACGATTTCTACTTTAAGTCTTCACGGTTGCTTTATGTTTTCCCATCTGCAGCATCCGTTTATTGAATCTGCCAAGGCTTTAAGTGTGCTAAGCAGCATGATTCAAGAGGCGCTGAATATTATGGAGGAAGAAAGTACACGAGAGGAAAACGAGGTAAGACTTGTTACTTTGGTTGGAAACTCCCCGACCATTATTTGATCGCAGCAACGTTTGTCAGCCAAAACTTAGTGGAGTAGAATTCCTGTTTTGTTGCTTTGATAGAAAATCGCAAAAACCACAATGAAGGACAAAAGTGTTGGCGGCTCTACTGCTACTTTTTGTTTTTATCCTGTAAGTCTCCTTTATGTTTACGTCAGCCCCATCTCCTTTGGGGGAAAAGGGGGGACTTTCAAGTCATTTATTAGTGAATTAATAATATACATGAAAAAATTTCTCAGTTGTGATTGGTTAAGATGAATGCAGTTTTCAGTTAGTTCAGTGCAGAAGAGAGTTAATTCAGTGCAGAAGAGGGTTAATTCAGTGCAAAGAAAGAAACAAACCAGACATTCTGATTGGTCAGAATGATTGGTCAAAGTCAATGTCAAGGTCAATGTCACTTGCAGGGTTTGAATAAATTATTTTTGCACGTGATGCGCGCGCTTTTCTTCTGCGTAGTTATGAGAAGCTACCTCGTATTTTTTCATGTATATTATTAATAGATAATCACATGATTTTCTTGTGCAATTTGGAATAAATAAGCACTTGTAAATTTTTTCAAAGACCACAAATTGCACTCGCCCTACGGGCTCATGCAATTTTGTTAGTCTTTGAAAAAAATTTACTCGTGCTTATTTATTCCAAATTGCACTCGAAATCATGCGATTACCTATACAAATACAAGATTATTTTATTATGTTGAGAGAGTTGGAGACTGCTTATGGGGAGGCGTGCCAGCTACGTTTGCTACTCATTGCAGCTCTCAGCAGAAATTTAGGCCATCGTGAACTACAAATCGCATAAGAAATCCAGTCACAAATGTACATGTAACCCCCACAAAAACTTTTATGCCACTCGCTACTTTTAAACTTCGACACCACTTTCGTCGTTCGCTGCAGGATGAAAACGAGGAGGCTGACGGACAAGTGGAATCAGGGACAATCGTGAAAGTCGGTGATGGTAATGAAAACACCATGATAATGAACACCGCAACAAGTGTTCAGAGCCAAGATACAATGATTGTGAACAGTGAAGCAGGTACACTGCTGGAGTCAGACCTTGGGACAATGGTGATCAACTCTGACGACGATGACGCTACAATGAAAAGTGAGAAAAGTATCACATAACAAAATTTTAATTAACCATGCCTTGTACTTGATTGCCTAAAATGTCAATCACCGTCAGCAGTCGTTTCCAGGACTCCTCTCAATGTTACGATCATATCGTGCCTAAGGATGGGATGTTGTTTGAGCAATTGTATCCAATGGCCTTAGAACTCGCAAATTTAAAGTTAAGTCTCGTCTTTGGGGCATGCAGTGACTAGGAATTTTGTTGGAATTTGATTCAGGTTCCCCAGCCCCACCTAAGTAGATCTTAGTGCCTTTTTTTGGTACCTATTTGGGTTCCCCAGCCCCACCCAAGTAGATCTTAGTGCCTTTTTTTGGTACCTATTTAGGTTCCCCAGCCCCACCCAAGTAGATCTTAGTGCCTTTTTTTTGGTACCTATTTATAGCGGAGCGCGCGCAGCGAAGCCCCATACTCATCGAAAATGGTATAAACCCATTAAGCTTGAAAAATTTGGTACCTTTGATTGGAGATTGGAGAGAGGCATTGTGGGAATTAAGTGTCTCGTCCAATAACACAGTATCATGACCTCTGCTGGAGCCAGCTCCAGGATGTTTTGATTTTTAGTCTGGAGCACTAATCACAGTCTACCGTATCTCCTAAGGGGCTCATGCCAACCAAGGGTTAATCCTTACCAAGGGCTAATGCCCCACAGCTCAACTGTTGATGCTCTCTTTTAGATTGCATATCATGTCTAGTTAAACAGTTATTCTATTTTTCAGCCTAGAACGTTCCTTACCCCTTTTTTTTTTTTTTTTACAGGACTGGACAGTGACGCCAAACAGAATTATCGGCCGTCCTTTATGGATCATTTTGACAGAATATTCGAAGCTGGAGGGCGAGGCAGCGAGTCTGGCGCTAATGGTTCAACTGAAGAAGACTCCGGGGGACTCCTGAGGGGAGTGAAACCAGAAGATCCCTTTAAGCTTAAGAAAGAAGGGCCCCCTGACTTTGAATTTGTAAGTATGGAAACCTTTGTTTTGAAAAGTTTAATGAACGTCAAAGAAGTGCAGTGTCCATAAGGGAAACTAACATTTTCCTTTTGATTAATTTTCTTTCACAGTTAAGATCTCTTCCTTGTGATGAACTGCAACGGCGAATGCAAACACTGGACATGGAAATGGAAAAAGAAATTGAAGGCCTTCGGTCCAGATACCAAGCAAAAAGACAACCCATCCTAGACGCCATGGAAGCCAAGAAAAGAAGGCAACAGAACTTTTAGCGGCATCACGTTGCCTCGATGGGAATTGTACAACACTGCATGTTTTGTAGAAAAAGTTTTCCTTACGATTATTTAAAGGTTTTAAGTCTCCAATTTTTTTTTGCCACGGGTAAAGTTACCTCCAGCCTGAAGGAAACTACACAACATTAGTTCTGTACGATAAAATAAATACCAAAATGGAAAGTGTAAACCTAGAGGGAACCAGATATACTAAGGATTAAGAGGATTGAAACAGATTATGAATGATCAACTTGGTAGTTTTTCAGCGAAATGTTTTGGCATGCTGAGTATTTAACGTGGTTCCTTTAAGGTCATATTTCTGTGAAAGCAGCCGGCAGAACAACTGCCCAGGGTACGAGCGTTAGCCTTTGAATTTAAGGCATAATTGGTGAGTAGCTGCCCCGAATATTCTTCTGCCAAGTAAACGCTGTCTACACTAAAATACCGTGTGAGTTCCATCAACTCTTGTAAAACAATGCGGACCTATGGTGAACATGGCGAATAACCTTCCTCCATACCCCCTCACAAAAGAAACGAGGTCCACCAGAGAATTACAGTTATCTATGAGTGCCCCTCGAATCAAGTAGGTGATACGGACCTATGCTGAATATTGTCGGTTGCGTCAGGAGAGATACGTGTCCAGGATCCTTTTCGTGCATGGTTTTTGTGTGCGGATTCAAAATGGAGGAATAAAAACCAATGGCTGTGAGTTTCATTTGCTTTAGGATTGAAGTAGGATCTCTGAATGAACAGCGCACTTACAGAATTGAAAAAACTTGTTCATATTATTTAAACTAACAGTTTTACTTTATACCTCTAGCTAAACTGAAGAAATGGACTGAGATTAGTTGGTATGAAGAGTTTGGTTATGTTGACCCATGGTAATTACCTTTGGTCCGTCAAAACTTTGTTTTGCATTTGGTCAATTGATAGATTAATTGAATGCCTGCGACCGATCGACTCGCTGTTGGCCGCCCTCCTCAAAAACTTGACATAAACTAAAGAAATCTCTATATGAAGCTCAAAAACTCGAAATCTCCAATTAATAAAGAAAATTATGCTATCGGAAGCTCAATATTTTCTTTTTTTCTGTGAAATTAGACGCCTATTTATAAAGTTTTATTTTGGAAAGTGAAACAATTCATGTAAAATCGCTCTTGTATGATATGATGTCTACCAGATATCAAGTGAGCGGAATTCACAGAATTTGACGTGGTGCCTTAGATAAACAAATGAGGAATGATGAAGAATGAAAATGTAGTCCAAGTAAAGACAGGAATCATAGAAATCGATCAGAGGCTGGAAAGGATCAATGTTAGGATCCGAGCAAATGCGCACCTACCCCTTCCCTAACTTAACAGCAGTCGCTGTTAACAAGTTAGGATTAATGTTGGGCTGGGGGAGGAGGGGTAGGTGTGCATTTGCTCAGATATTGACGTACATTACTTATTCCTGACTCCTCAACTACATTACTACTTAAAGTTTGGTAACTTCACACTGACAGGCCCCGTTGAGAGGTGGAATCCCAGATGCACTAGAGAGATCCAGGGAAGTCGAGGAATAGACGCGCAACTCCTGGAAAGCAGGGACGCCGGAGTGGCGTGCGTGAGAGTGTGAGACGTGGTGAAGCGTATGTCATAGAAATGGAATATAATGAAGGAAATGGCTTGAAGTTAATTGATTTGGTTTGCCAGAGAATGCTTCCCTCATGTGGAAAGCTACTTTTTTCTTTTATTTATCGATCACTACCTCAGTGACTTCGCTATGGTTTTGTACATTGAATTTTAATTCTAGACGTTGCTGTTTTTAAGACTTTTGTTAATAATTGAACACTAACACTTCGATTGTTGTCTGGTCAGTTCGTTGACATTGAGTCGCTCTATGTCGCCCTAGAAACGCTGCTGACAAGTTCCCCGGGCCCAGAAAATATCTGCGTTTCGATTTTTAGTGAAGAAAGGTTGATACGTAGATTTCCATTTCAAATTGAGCATAAAATGTATATATTGCCTTTATTATGTGATAGGATTATAGGTTATTATCTTTACCAGAAGCACGTTATCTTCATTTCAAACACTTGGGGATCTAGTCTACTTTCCAGCCGTTTTTATCTTGTTTGTTTGTTGTTGTAGCAAAGGGTTGTTTTTTTCGTGTTCTTTCGCGCTTTTTATGTTTGTCGTCACGCGACTGTACTCGTCACGGTTTTCGTTAGTCAGATGTTGCGTTACGACCCAAATACCATCTGGAAAGGAGGCTACATCGTTCCCACTCATTCTTGACTAAGATCTACAACTAATTGTAAAGCAAAGGGAGATTGTTGGTTACTTAGAATAAATTATCTTAGTTTTAACAAGTGATTGCTTAAAAAAATTTGAGAAGTAAAGTTTTTACAATGAGGTGTGTCCAGTATTTAATTTCTTTTAATCTTGTTTTTCTTCATTTGCTACTAAAAATATTAACCAATCAAATATAGCATACTAACATACGCCACTTCGTACCCAGGGGTTTCTTCGTTCTCAAAATGGCGACGGTTCCTGCTGACCAGCCGCCATTTTGAAAGCTGAGACGCTCCTGGGTACGAGTTTTAACAAGTCCCTGCAACAGCATTCTTTTGTTTTAAACACTAATATAGCCACAGGTCACGTGATCTAAAGCGCTGTTTTTGGCAACAGGCAAAAGGATTGCTGCCACGATCACAAAAGCGCAACATTTACAACTTTTTTGCAGGTAAAGTCCAAACTTTTAGACTTAGTTAAGAATCTGGTCAGATTACGAGAAGGTAAATGTTCATTTTTATTAAAATAGAAAACTGGTTGCTTATATACTCCGTACTATTTTATTAAAAAAATATATTCATTCGTTCTTTCACAATCACTACAAATCATCAAAAATGAGCCACAAAAGTGCACGACGCTATAACCAAAATGGTCTCATATGACGCCAGTTCTTTGGTAGCCGTTGTTTGGTGTCGTTATGCAACGTTTCTCTTCCTCCCCTCCCACCCGGCCGTCCCATTACCAACGGCTGCTTCAATCGGAACCACATTCCTTACCCTTTGAGAAAGGTATACGTCTCATGGCTTGTCGGCATAACGGTGAACAAAACTGAGGAGTCATCCAACCACTTCAATATAACATCCTAATAAGAATTTGGATACATAGCCAGTTTTAACAACTGAAACCCCGTACGAATGCCAGATCATCAAAAGTTAATGATATAAGAATAAATAGCTAAGGTCGCTGTAGATCCGTAATACACATTAGTATTAAGGATGATCACAAAATCCATCGTCTATTTAAACCAAGATTTTTGGGTAAAATTCGAGTGAGCCTTTTAACATAGTCTTTCATCCAGAAGGTAATATACAATACAGATGAAGTTTGATCTAGCTGAAGATTCTTCCCTCCTTATGTAACATGCTATCTCGCTTTGTAAGAAGATATGTCTGTACTGAAATATAAAAGGTAAAGCAAACACACGCCTAACATGTACAAAAACTGTGTGATAGGCTTGAGCACATTTGATCGTAGAGTATGTGCAGTATAGGTTAACATAAAAACTAAGTTGTTTTGAGTCAGTTCACTAAAGAAGTCAAGCGATACCAATGCGACTTTTTTCCAAAACACTTTGAAGATGAACCGTGGGTAGCTGATTTTGTTTTTTTTTGGTTGAAATACACGGTAACGGATGGGAACGAAATCTTACAAAAGTCTCATTAATACCCATAACAAATAATACGCATTCAAAATTGGATATCCATGAAAAGAGCAGGCAAAGTAAGCAATGATTGCAAATGCAAGTCTACTGGTTTTACAGTTTTCATGAAGGATTCGTTATGTACTAAGACATGAACATTTAGGAGCATGCTTCGATTAAATGTCGTTAAAACAACACAACAGCCAATAAGAAATAAAAGAAGTTTTACAAGGGAGAGAACTGAAGGATGAAAACTAAAAAAAAACGATTGCGCAGGACACGTGAGTGACCAAGGTGGGAGGGGTCTTGTATCTGATTGGTTGAGGGGATGGCGCAAGTTTTTTTTTTCGGCCAATCACAGCACGAAGATAACAAAACCAAAGTAATCCTGAATGAGTTTTGTTGACCCTCACTAAAAAAAGTTTCACAAATCTTTTACTAAGCGCTGCTCTGAGTTCACACTCACCTTGTTTTTTATTTAAATATCAGCAGCACAGTTTAATGAGAAATCCGATTAGGATGATTATACCCAGGGACACCAAACCTATTCCTACACACAGCAAGATGAGGGGAATAAGGCAGATATCTAGAGAGAGAGAAAAAAAAATACAAATAGGTGAACAGGTTAATAAGCATCAATCCCTACCCACTACACCCTAATATCGATCTTTACCTCACCCTCCTCTACTCCACTGCCATCCAGCATCAGTCCCCCAACTACTCCAACCTAGCACCAGTCTCCACACCACCCAACCTCGATCCGTCAGATATTCAACTTCAATCCTCAACAACCCCACACCCGGCACCAACCCAAACCCTTCTCTTCCTTGCTTCACAACTCTGTCATTTGAGCAAAGTAAATAGGTAAGCTCGCTTCAAGGTTCTAAAGACTTTCGGGTAAAACACCCCACCGGTGGTTTGAAGGTCATTGAGTGATCCTCTCCAAGAATCAGACTCTGTACCTCGCTGCGCGCTCTTGATGATTGAATTTAGTATGTTACCTTACAATGGCCGCCTCGACCGCCTCCCGGTTAGCTCAATGGATAGAGCGCTGGACTGTTGTGCGGGAGGTCGAGGGTTCGAGCCCCGGCCGGACCAACACTCAGGGTCTTAAAATAATTGAGAAGAATTCGCTACCTTTCTGTAACATCTAGAAATGGTTAGATATTCTAGTCTTCTTGGATAGGGACGAAAAAATGGAGGTCCCGTCTCCTGCAGGATTAGGGGCAGGAGACGTTGATTTCCCACGCACGAGATTACTGTGTGATGGATGTACTCCCCTGGGGTGGGATGGGTGGGTATGGGGAGGGTGGGTAACAG